GACAAGCAAACACGCACGCCATGTCTGCCAAGCTACATAGTATGTATATGAGGAGGCTGGCCAGGCTTCTTAAAATCCATCTATGCTATTGTGCTTAAATTTGTGAATGCGGGCAAACGTACTTCGGGTTATTTTCAACCCTAGTTGGGAAAATAGGTAAGCACCTGCCGGGGTAATCCACGTTTGCTCTCAGCTTTTACTATTGCGTGCTTCTATTTCCTACTGGGTTAGTCTTCTGGCATACTTAGAGACTTTGCTGATATGTTCGTGTGTATACTTGTGTATATTTTTATTTTTTTATTTTGTTTCTCTTCATTTTATGAGCACTTGTCTCCCTCCTTTCAATTTATGTCGCACTTTGATGATGACTTCAGGTGTGACACAGCGGTAAGAAAAAATTTAATGTGCAGCACTTTTTGGATGACCAAAAAATAATAAAGCAAAATATAAATAAATAAACTAAAGAAAAGTAGATAAACAGGTGTTTCCTTTACAGCGTCTTGAAAACCTTAATTTTCTTTTCTTATAGCTATGCCTTTGGAGAGGCCAACAGATGTAAACAGAAATAAGAAGTGGCCTTGCGTCGGTCCATTCTATTTTATTTTTGTTTACATTGTCCAAAGTAAATTTGGAATGCTTACCTTCAGAATTCCACAAAATTTCGTTATTGCCAGCGGTGCTTGTGGGAATGAGTAAACCAAGTTAATTTTTTATTCATTGTGATTGAAAGAAAAAAGAAAAGCACGAAAAGGCACAATAAAATCCCATTTGCATGTTGCGTACGCTAACTTTGTCTCCATATTTGGTCATACATATTTTTTGTTAACTTTAGCGATTTGTTGTCACTACAAATTTTTCAGAGTTCATAGGGACTTTGAAATTATATAAGAATTCGGCTACATATACAGGGTGATCCAAAACTGCTTACAAATATTTGGCACTCTTACACCTTGGACCAAAAAAAAAAAAAAAAAATTGGGGATTGGAAATCATCAATTTTTAGCTAATTTTGCACAAATTTTTTGTGTGTTCTGGTCCAAGGAATACGTGTGCCAATAATTTCTACGTAGTTTTGGATCACTCTGTATACATAGTGGGCTTTTTGTTATTGTAATACGATGGACACCAATTCCTCTATGCAGTATGAGAAGTTTAGCTTGTACTGAACAGTAACACAATACAGTTCTTCAGCTGACACTAAATATGTAATGTAAGTAGTTTTTGTATTTTTTTATTTAATATCCCCAGTAATAGTATTCTTGATAATAAAAAGTGAGTGGAAGGTATAAAAATAATCACAAAATAGTCCTGGCATGGGGAAGGAAAAAGCATCCATACAATTCAAAAATTTCCTCTACAAATATTTATCGCTATACTTTTATAATGTTGTGAAGGTGTACATATCGTCGTTCTGCAATACCACGTAAATGATGTTCTTTTGGCTACTTAATGGACTATAAAAATACATACTCAATTAAATTCTCTAAAAGCTGATTAAAAATTTGAAAAATTAGATGCCACATTGAAGACTTTTTGTAATTTTTGCACAAGGTTAAAAATGTGAATTTATACGGTGTTTGTATTGAGCTATACCCAATTATTTGTTCACTGTATGTGTACTTATGTACATAAATAAAGTTTTAATTTGGTTTACGAAATCATCCCGAATGTCTGAGGTTTATGTAACAGTCGTACCTTGCTACATTTCTTTGTTCCTCATGGGTGGGCTGGGTATTGCATACGCCAAGTGCGGAAGCAATGTGAAGCAATTAAAAAAGTATTCTATTCTTTATTACTCTTTGAATGAGAAATAAATTAAAAATTCTGACTAATATTTTTAAAAAGATTCAAGCGAAACTTAATTATGTACATCTACATACATAGGTACATTAGTTGTCCATCGTTAGGCAGCACCATTTCACAGAAGTAGTAAGTCTGTTGTTGTTTTAGTATTTTCCTGCGCAGCATAATTACCTGGACAAAATGCTTCGAAAAGTTATGGAGCACTTTTAAGTGCTTTTGTGTTTCTCAGCTAGATGAGTGTACTCATTCAGCACTCTTCAATCTCTCCTCTGTTTATGCACACCTACAAACAATTCCAACTTTGGTTACCCTTCGGCTATTAGACTGCGAAAACTTGTGCAGATTTCACTTTAAATTGGGTTGAAAGTTTTTAGATATTCATGCCTAGTACTTATGTATGTACATACATCTATACGAATATAAATATGTATGTAGTCACGAACTGCTTACGAAACTTTATAAAAAGGCAGTTACAGAATGTAGAGCGTAATTTTAAAATCTTTCTTTTTAAATTAATTTCCATTTACTGAAAATATAAGATTCCGAGTTACTTTTTATCAAAAATCAATAGAATTGAATTTCTAAAATATTTTTTCCATAAAAAGTTACTCTTACATCGGTCATCTGTAGCTGCATCATGTCAATTAGTTCAAAGTTTGTGCGCAAACAATCTTTTTACCCTTCCTTCTTACTCATTTGATTCGGAGCTTGACCCCTACCATCACTTATCCGTTACAGACTAATTATACACTTGACTGGAAACGTCCAACTTTGACACGCTCCGGCATGGAATTAAATTAAAATTGTTCAATTGGACTGATTAAGTTTTGTGAAGGACGCAGCCCAGGTGATGGGCGTATATATGTACGTACATACACTGCGATTTATTTCTACGAATTTAATTATCTCTTGCAATTTTTGTATTTCGGGACAAGAGTTAATTTGGTGTGAAAACTTTGGCGTGCTCGTATGAATAGTTAAAATGCTTTACAGTTTTTAATATCAAATTCGTTTGCTTAGTTCTATAAATATTTTTCAGTTAATTGTGAGCGAATTATTTGTATGTGTTGCATAATTAAAATTTAGTTGAAATGATAAAAGGAATTAGTTCTTAATAACCAAATATATTTATCTAATTTCGAAGTGAATAACCATTTTCATAGCATTGTTCTTATCTAAGCCGTTGCCAGTAGAAGCATGTCGGGGCGTATACGTAATATTAGACAAGTAGAATTATGTGTTGTTAATACCCATGCTACAAAAAAGAAGGTATGTAGTTCCATTGTCACTTTTTCGTCGCCATATCAACAACCTGACACTTAAGCAGATTGTGACATTTCGTGCTATCATAGCCAATATGCAAGGTACATTGAACAGGTAGTATCAGTAGAGCAGCTGATTTGATTTATTTTCAAATTATTTGGTCTCGAAAATGTCAAATATTTTTAATTTTTTCTCACAAAAATTCTGAATTGTTAAAATCCATTTGCATGTGAAACCTTTTTCCATACAAAACAAGCGATTGAATAGCAGCTTTTGGAACGTTCGCCCAACTCGGCAGCACGACCGCTGATTACTGGGCCTTGCAAAGGATGGATCAATGCTTCGAGAAGCAAACAAATTTACTAGGAAAGAAAGTTGCATCAATTTTTATTTTTTCCAATTTCAATTTTTTATTTTTTATAATTTTTTGTATTTCACATGGCACGCTTTGATTTAGAAGAAAAAATTCAGAACAGTTGTTGACACTTTCGATACCAGAAGCAACAACAAAATACACGCAAATGTTGTTTTTGCTCTACTGATACTACCAGTTTAATGTGCCTTGCCAATATGTAAAATCCTTAAAATTTTGTATTAACTTTTTGTATATTAAAAACATTTTGTTCTTAGAATCGAAATTTGTACGCATGTCGTCAAACGATTAAACGCTAGTTTTAAATAAAGTTTTCAAACTTTCATATAAAAATTAATTAATAAACTCGGTTTGAAATATGGATTATTTGTAAAAGAAACTAGGGTCAGCGTAGCCAGAGCTGGACTGATGAGGGTTATTTTTTCCAAGCGCGGCCGAAGGATACAATGCTGAAAGGTATTTTGCGCGAAAATCCTGTCGCGTAACCCGAGTCTACATTTTCTCTGTCAAAATACTAATTTCATCCAATTTTTCAATGGATCCCTAGGGGTCAGCAGAAGGGTCTCTCTGTTAAGTGAAATTACTATAGACGGAAATGAGGTTCAACATTATGGACATACATACTGAAGTGGTAACAGACACGTATCTAGCTGAGCGTAGATTGTATGGCGCGAATGAGAAGAAACAGCAAATCATTTCGCCTCATAGGATCACCGCTTTGGATGCGTATGACCTGAAAACCACATTTCCAATTGATCTAACGAGCCTCGCAATTATAGGGGAATTATTAACTAGTTGACTTACTTCCTCTTTTGAGGATAATCTCATCTGAGAGCAAGTTATACGTTAATTTCGCTTGCCAACTCGATCGTCCTGGAGTACACTGTTTTTTTTTTTTAAATAAGTGAAATATCCTTAAAGTATGACTTTACACAGTACAATCTGCTTAACAGCACATCTCAGATAGCTATATTGCGTCAATTGCAATGGTTCAGCTTTTTTATCAGCCATTATTATTTGCATGAACTCATTAGGAAACGCTTATCATACAGTCTTAAGTGCTTGTAATAATTAACCAAGACAAAAAGACATTAAAGCTGAAGTTTCTTAATGCCATGCACGCATTTACACAATTAAAAAATGTGCTGAAACAACACCAAAAACAACGCCAGCACGCAATCGGCAGAGTCACGTATTTACTTATATGTAGATAAGCCAAATAGCTTTGACTTTATGTATGTATGTAGCTGTGAGTAATTACACGCCTTCCTATATAAACATATGCGCATGGAAATGCTTTTATACAGAATGACAGGATATGTGCCCAAGTTGCGTGCAATTAATGTCACATCGATAAGATTTTAAAATTGCCAAGTTGAAGGTCTGCCGAGGCTTTTAAAACTTTAACAAACACATGCGGAGTCATCAATATACAAACATAAATATGCATATGTGTTTGTGGCATATTTTAATATACATATGTGTGCACATTAGAGTGGTCCAAAAAAAAACAATAAAGTCGGAATTTTAATGTCGCCACCCTCTAGGATTGTTCTGAACAGAAAACAAATATACCACTATTTTTTATTTTGAAATCGAAAATTTTTTAGGTAGTGCACACAGCGCTCAAAGCTTTCCATGAAAAAACAACTTTTCGTAAAAATGGTATAAAATTCTTGAAAATCAATATTTTTCGATCGGAAAGCTGTAGTTCTCCTCAGGAGATTCCAATTATCCAATTATTTGTTTCACCATTTTTTAATATTAAAAATTTTTTATTGGTCCCCCCCCGCCCCCCATTGCATTTTGGGGGGGTTTTTGAGGACCCCCAGAAAAATGGTTAAAAAACAATTCCGTTTTATTACTGGGAATCTCCTGAAGATAAGTAAAAAAAAACTTGAAAAAATAATATCAAATACATGGAAAAATCTGAGCGCTTTGAGCACTCCCTAATTTTTTTTAATTTCAAAATAAAAAATAAAGGTATTTTCTTCAATATAGAACAATCCTAGAGGGTGGCGGCCTTTAAAATCCGACTTTATTTTTTCACATACATTTTGGGACCACTTTAGTGTGCATTTAAATAAAACCCGGCTTATAGGAAATTCCAATCCTTACTGATTTCGTATGCAGAGTGCTTAATCATTATTGCTGGTTGCTGGTTTTTGCTTAAATACATGCAACAACAGCAAATAAAAGGGAAAACAAAGCCATCACGTCAATGTCAATCATACGAGCACTCAGAAACAGCAGCAAACCAACAGCAATAACCGCAAAACACGTGGAGCAACAATGAAAAACATATTAATTTCCGTCGATGCAAATTAATCCATCGCAAGCATATTAAAATCGAAGCCGAAAACATTTACCCATCGCAGTGCTTTTTTTCTTCTTCTTGCGACAAGGTGGCGCAGAATTGACGCAGCAAAATGACTAACATGGAAATCGCATAATGCGTCGGCAATTGTAGAAGTGTATGTACATTAGGGTGGTCCAATAATGTATGAAAAAAAGTAAAGTCGGAATTTTTATGCTCTCACCCCATTATTTTTTTATTCCGAAATCAAAAGTTATTTAGAGGTCGCTCATAGCGCTCAAAGCTTTCCCTGTATCTTATATGGGGAGAAACAACTTTTCATAGAAATGGTACAGAATTCTGGAAAATCCATATTTTCCGACCTGAAAACTCTTTTGAGCGACCTCTAAATATTTTTTTATTTCTAAATAAGAAAATAGTGGTAAACTTTTTTTCGATATAGACAATCCTAGGGGGCGAGAGCATTAAAATTCCGACTTTACTTATTTTGTATATATGTACATGCATACACTTGTACATATGTAGGTATGTAGAGCGACACATTCGATGATAAAGTTGCGTGGCGTGGCCAAGATCCCGTGGTGCTGGCAGCTGGTTTGTCGCGCAAGTGGTTAGCGGTTTGCGGCTTATGCCAAATTGATTTGTAGTTGCCATTAAAGCACAATTTCAAACACTTAATGCCATTCGCGTAACTGCCATCGCCTTATTTGTCATGCGCTTTTGCCTGTCATTTATGCGCCATGGCTATTTGTCATCGCCAAAATATTAAGAATGTATTGCTGTAATTTCTGTGTGAGACAAAGACATCGATTGAGGGTTGGTAGTTTGGTCGAAATCTGTCATAAATTTTTAATTAATCAAATAAGCTAAGGGGCATGCATATATACACACTTCATCTCTTGTCAAATTTTGTTTGGAGGACGCTAACCCTGAATCAATCAAATAAATATATGCGAAGTAGTTGCAATACTCGGCGATACCCGGTTTTTTATGATTAAATAGTACTTGTTAAATGGTGTTTACATGTGGCAATTTTGGAAGCGATTAGTTGAGTATAAATTTGGCTGCACCCCAACTTAATTCGAAGCGATTTGTTGAAAGGCCGTTCACACCAGGCGATTGTTGCTTTCAACTAAGGGTTGCTTGTAAAATCGAAGATAACATCTATCTAGATAACTTTAGAATGCAAAGCATTTTCTGAATACAAAATTTCGTGAAAGTCATTGAAGCCATTTCTGATCGTTCAAAGTAATAAGATATACTGATTAATTTGTAGTGCTTACTTAGAAAAAGTAATTTATTTTGAACGAAAGGTTTACTATGACCCCGTTGACGTGTAGGCATGAAAAATTTCTTTATGATCGGTTGAGGCTTGAAAGCGTAACAAACAAACAAACAAACAAACTCACTTTGCATTTGTATTATATGATGTGATATAACCCTCACATCTATGTGCGGTGCCATTTGCCTTTGTCTATACGTAACCCCTCTTGATCTATAACATGGAACAAATTAAGTATGCAACAAATTTCACTAAGGTGTGGCTTGTGGTCCGTAAGTGGGGTTTCAAGTACGACGGCAGCCAAGATCCGCTCACCTTCATCGAGCTTGTGGAAGAGCTGGCAGTAGTATACGAAGTTTACAGCGAGCGGCGTTACGAGAGGTTTCGTGAGCGATAGCATGACTAAAAAGCTAGAAGCGGGATGATTTAAGCAGTTTAATGCGCGAGTTGTAATGGGAAAATGGGCGAAAGTAAAGCTTAGAGTACATATCAGACCGATCATTTGATACTGATTGGGTTAATGAATAACGTAGTCTTTGGAATGGATTATCTGGCGAAAGCAGGGCTTCAACTGCATTTAGGAGAGTAGAACGTGCGCAAAAGGAACGACTCGTTCGCGGATAAATGCGACGAACTTCCATCAAATCGCACATCTACAGAAGTCGTGGCAACTGCTGGAGGGCGCAGGGCGATCGGTGTGTGCTAAATTCTTTTGTTTGTGAGTGGAGCTTTCCTTGAATTTCACGAAACAAGTGGATCCTTGCTATGGATGTGCATTTTAAGTAACTTTGAATTTGACAGAGGTACCCGCTCCCTCTAATGGCGCTACAAATACTAAGGAAAGGGCAATGAAAATCTACAGTTTTGGGAGAAAAGAACACGCAACAATAGTCAACGGATTGAGATGATTTGACTAAATGCTGTGTTGAAGATCTAAATAGGCGTGGAGTCCTGAATGTATGTATATGGGCCTGAAGGAAAGTTGAAATCAACTTAATAGGTATTTCAAGACTTGGCTTATCCTACCAAGGTTGGATATGTAAAACAAATATTTTATGGTACATAAACACCTTAAATATACAACTATTTTTTATGAAAAAATACTTTAAAGACTAGCCATTCTTCTTAAGTAACACCTATCTGATGAGCGGGAACGTCAAATTGATCGTCCATCTGCGGTTCAGATGCGGTCTCTTAAGACGCCTTTATTTGCTTGAAAATAAAAAAAGCCGTCAACGTCTTTAGGCGAATGAAGAAGCTGTTGGCACGTACAAAACAAAGACCGCTTACGATGATAAAAACAATGATGTAAGAACAGGTTTTCAAAAGCTGCACCTTTTATGAAATCAGCAGATAACTACATCAACCTCTAGCTCACAAACATATTGCAATTAAAAAAAAAAAAGAACAGCTGCAAAATTTTATGACAAAATGGTTGCAAAAATAACTAAAAAAAAAATCCCAAAAAATAGCCTTGCGTCTGAAGGAGGGAAAAGAAAAAATAAGAAAAGAAGAGTTGACCAAAAACCCTTTTCTTGCGCACATTTGCCTTTGGGTTGTGGAATGTCCACTACAGGTCAGTTATTCCAACCTACAAAAAAAAAAACTAAGCACAGTTTGCAATACAGCAAAACCAAACCGGATTCCTTTAGGAATTTGTTCATTTCCGTTAAAAATTCGCACATTTTCAGCTCATTCAACAACTGCGTCAAGCGATAAGCGTACGCATATTGCACAACGTAGCCAAGTTCTGCAATTGGCGCGCTCCATACCTAAGAGCCCCTATTGTGCGAAATTTAGCTCGCACACCTGACCGGCGTTTTCGCATGGAAAAGCAAAAAAAAAAAACAAACATCTCAAAAGCAACAACAGCGTCACCAGCCATGGGCAAGGGAAGTATTGTTTGCACAATACACACTAACCAGCCAGTGATGGGTAAGTAGGTACAATTGAACTTGTTTCAGCCCTTTTATTTACTGAAAGTACATTCGGTACATTGTCATCTTAGCTAAATAAATTTTCCTAGAATTTTCTCAATCTTGAAATTATACCAACAGCCGAATCCACCTGGACTTGGATGGCACAACCGCAAGGGCCCCGAATCTTGTGCAGATTTTTTTTCTCGAATGTACTCGAACACGTCTTTTCTTAAACAGGCATTGTCTACGTTGCTATTTTATATGAGCAGACAAGAAATATTGGAGATTTATGATGGGTTAGTTATGTTCACTTAGAAGGCCCCCCTAGGTAGATAGAAATTCTTTTCTGCGTTTGCTTTTAATGCTTTTGAATGGCACGACGCACAGAACATGGCCGCAAATAAAAGGGCTCAATTTGATCAGCTGGTTTGAATTCGTTCCATACATTGTTGTTTTGACCCATTGGCAGTATGCTGGCTTCTAATTAAACAAAACCCTTTATAGCTTCGAAGTAATGCTATCAAGAATATCGTGCTCCTTTTGTTTTTTGGTAGGAGGTAAATTGACCTTTCCTCATTCTCTGCTAAACCTACACTAAGGGGAAAAATATTAAAATCAATCAGAAACGTAATTCAGCTTACTATAAACGTCGACGAAAGTACTGTATATTGGTAAATATTCAATTCAATGACGCGTATACTAAAATGACCGCGTTGGTTCTGAAAACGCATCCATTAAGTGAATAATCAATATAAAACCAATAAAAATATATGTATATTAATTTGCATGTTGCCTGCAGTAGAATTCGGACCCTGACCCTCTCTGGATATTAACTAACTTTGGCCAGCATCTTTCCGCACTCAGCTACAGTCAGACATATAAATGTGCTTTCAAATGTTGCATTTCCATCAACACCACAGCACGCTTCGATTCGTATTATCTAAAACTTTGTTTGACCTTGAAAAGTTTTCCAGTTTATACAGAGGTTAATGTTTTAGAGAAGGTGTATCTCAAAAACAGCCGCAAAAGATTGCCGTCGTATTTTCGTATTGGTAAAAAGATTTGACGTGATCTGAAATGTGCAATAAAAAAATTTCGTAGGACATCTGTCAGCTTTTAGGTACATTTTTTTCCCTCAAATTAAGTACAATTTGAAGATTTTATATTCCATCCCTGACACAAATCCATATACATTCGCTTGTATGTTTGAAATGTAAAATGAACAATACATGAAATTTTATGCGACCTGTGGCGGTTTGCAAATGGTTGCAACTTCTTTGGTATTGCATGCTGCAAGCGACGACGGTGTGCTTGTTGTTATTCCTTTTCTTTGTTTTTGCCACAACGCGGCCAGTCCTTAAACCGTTCGTTATGCTGTTCGATGTTAGAATAAACAAAAGCATTATGCTTGAATTACAATACCAGCGAACGGCAAACTTCGCCGAATGCTCTCGTTCCCCCTTCGCCCAACTATTTCGCTTACCACTAGAAAAAAATATATCGCCATGAAACGCCGCCGAGCGCACTTCGCATTTCGCTTTGGCTGTGCTCCATTTCATATGCTTGCGGGTGTTCTAATTTTGACAGCACGAATTTCGCTGTGGTGAGTTCGCCGGCATTGGATTTCAGCTATTAGTTTTATAGATCAACTTGTAATAAGCATACTCAGTTACTATTTAGTAGCTAAGCCAACATTTGCCCCGAAGCGCTGCATAACATCAAGCTTTGCATTTTTGTAGTTGTTGCTGTAGTTAATGGTGAATATCAGTATACACATATGTATAGTTACGGAAGTTTGGGCAGCAGCTTTCTGTGTGCTTTTGTCGCAGGAGTCATAATCATTAAATATAAAATGACGTAAAGGTGAGTTGAGATTTGCAATAATGGCGATTGTGTGCCAGATTTCATAGGAAATCTGGGAAATACTTATGAACGGCAGAGGAGATTAATGAACTAGCAAAATTAGTTAAATATTTTCGCCTCCATAAAGATTAGGTGCATAGCAAAATTTTAATATTAAGGATTACATTGGTAGTTATACAAATCAATGCTGACAGTCTTGTCTTGATTGTCTTATTCGCCATTTTTAGACTAAAAAAAAGAA